ACAAGAGAACTTGCGAAGTCTTGATTTACTACTAATGCGTAAAATAGAAAAAAAATGCATAAACTCATCTCCGACTGTTTTGTCTGTGTAGCCTAAGATGTGCAATAACGGTTTTAATATTCTATTCAATAACATTGCTAACTGTTTATTTATAACATCTGTTGCTTTGCTTCTGTGAAAATGAATAGAGACATCAGCCTTAAACTTTGTTTTTGTCTTTTACATCAGTTATATTTGTATAAAATACACTATATATTTTTTAATATTAATGTCGCTCTTGCAGGTTGTATGTCATTCATGGCCCGCCTGCTTAAGGTTGCCCACATGCTGTTTAGTAAGTATGAATTATAAAATATGGGATATTGAAAACACTCAGATTCTTAAAAGTCACCAGCAACACATACAGTGCTGCTTGAAAGTTTGTGAACCCTTTAGAATTTTCTATATTTCTGCATAAATATGACCCAAAACACAATTATATTTTCACACAAATCCTGAAAGTAGACATAGAGAATCCAATCAAACAAAGGAGACAAAAATATATACTTTGTCATGAGAAAAATGATCCGGTGTTAAATATTTGTGAGTGGCAAAAATATGTGAATCTTTGCTTTCAGTATCTGGTGTGACCCCCTTTTGCAGCAATAACTGCAAGTAACGTTTCTTGTAACTGCTGATCAGTCCTGCACAACGGCTTGTAGGAATTTTAGCCCATTCCTCAGTACAGAACCACTTCAACTCCGTGATGTTGGTGGGTTTCCTCCTATTGAAACCTTTTCCAGCCTGATGAGCAACAGCAACTCTTTTTCTGAAGTCCTCGGAGATCTCATTTTGTTTTTTTTCCTGAATAAATAAATGACAAAGTATATATTTTCATCTCATTTGTTTGATTGGGTTCTCTTTGTCTACTTTCAGAACTTGCATGAAAATCTGATGATTTTTGGGGTTATATTTATGCAGAAATAGAGAAAACATTCAAGCAGCACCGTATGTTTCTCCTGCTACATTTAATGCCTTATGCTGTCAAAAGAAGCAGAATAACACCTGCAAAAGTGACACAAAATCAACCCATATCTAATTTCCTTCATGACCACTGTCTGCAAGGGGGTTATATGAATCGCTTAAAGCCTTTCCCTTGTGACCTGTTTTTTGTGTAATGTATATTGTAAAATGTTACAATCACTGTTTCTTTCTCTTTACAATGCATGTAACATCTGATCAAATGTCACATTTGACAATCTCACCTTCCCTGTTTCTTTATCAGGAAATAACTAAAGTGAGGAACAAAATATAAGTCTTGGACAAGATTTCCTAAAAGACAATTCTTGTAAGTATATGGATATGTGGGGCAGAGATGGGTGGAGTGTTAGAGGTGAATGAAAGGAGATCAGAAATTAGGACAAAACTGACAACAAAAATGCTTCTGGAGGATGGTCTGGGAGGGGCACACCTGCTTAAAAAGAGAAAGAATTTCAGCAGAGAAAGATGACGATGTTGTGTAGACACTAACTGTGCTCCTGCATTGATGGTCAAATATAGTGGTGTAGGGTAGCTAGCACAATCATAAGATAAGACTGGGTGAGTTTATATATTTTTATATTATATCTACAATTATGTAAACCTTTTGAGTGTATTCAATGACTGACTTAGAAAAAATTGAAATATAAATGCAGTGTCACTTACCACTTTTTTTTTCAATAGACTTTTAGCAATGCCAAGTATTTTTCTTTTTTAAGATTTAAAGGCACTATATGACTATAATGATTTATTTTTCTTTAGAAAATAAAAAAAAAATCTTTATAATGTCCTATTACACTCTATTGAAAGCCACAAGAATGAGCATCAAGGTATCATTTATTTTGCATGCTGGTCCAATATTATATTATATTATATTAAAAAGTTTACTAATATGTAATTTTTCTTGACAAGGTATTTGCAACTTGGGTGGTTCTTGTTACAAGTAAGTTTGATTAAAAAGGAAGCTGTTGTTAAAACCACTTACTGACATTTGTATTAGAGAAAAAATATGCTAAAACCCCTTGTCTGTCATTACTTATAGGTACACGTATCTCACCTTCCACTCAGAGTAGGTCTGATTTTTCTTCTTTATAATTAAAAAAAGAAAAGAAAAGAAAAAGAAAAAACTTAAAATCGTAAAATCGTATAATGACATCCTGAAAGGTTCTCATGTGGTCACCCGTAAATCCTGTCCTTTTTTTTAATTTAATTTTTTATTTGTTTGTTTTTTGGTATTTTATTTTAGGTTGTATAACTCAGTGGTTTGACCATGATGACCCTAATGATGGAAATGGAGACAGTGAGCTCTTGGCTGACCTGTGTACATTAATGAGGAAAAAAAAATTAACTTAAATGATTTTAGCAAATGGCTGCAATATAACAAAGAGTGAAAAATTTAAGGGGGTCTGAATACTTTCCGTACCCACTGTATATCCTGAACAAATATGTCCAAATCCAATCGATATATATGTAGGGTCCGTCTCTGGCATACCATCATCTCAAACCTTTCAAGTGTGAGTGTACAGTATTAAAAGCATTACAATGGTTTCTGGTTATTATTTTGAGCCATATAACAAAAATGATCTTACATGAAGATTTATATGTAGGTTATTTTGTTTTTTCTGAAGATATGATCCAGCAATTGGGTTTGAGTGCATAAATTCATATCAAGTAGGAGGGTTATGTGACGATTATAAGGTGCGCTTCAACTGCCCAGATGAATGGTGTTCAAGTGAGTGTCATTTACATACAAAAACAGACCCAGTGAGTTACCAATTTACTGATTAGCAGTTTACAATGTCATTAAATTGTCTGAATTACTTGTTCACCTTCCATTATAAAAAGTTGTACATATTATAAATTATTTTAGAGCTTTGATATTATTAGACTAGGAATCTGTCAAAAATTTTGAATTTTGCCTTTCTATAATAGAAACCAGTGTGATGATCTTTTTTTTTTGGTTTGGATAAGCTGATGGTATTTACTAAGTTGGTTTTCCTCTGTTAGAATGTAGGACACGCTGGTTTAACCAAGGTAAACCCACTAAATTTGGACAGTCTGAGTATCTGCAGTCAATCCTGTTGGCATACCCACTACAGGTCTGCGTTGAGCCCATCGCCATTGAGGTGACAACCAATGAAGGGATCTCTGTACTGCCGAATGGAAATTTTCCAGTGTACGACAAACAATTTCACATGTTCTATTTTAAACTTCCTTCAGATAAATTAAATGATATGGATACATTGTTAATCTACACTTATTTGGTGCCTATTCCACCAAATGTGTTTGCATTACTTTTATGCACAGAATATCTGCTGCAGATCGCTTTCAGTTTAGGCCTTGCAACTCCAACCACTTTCTTTACTGAAATATGGAGTTTAGGAGCAGAAGAGAATGCATGCCCATTGCCCATATGCACATTTGCATTCACAGAAATACTGATTAAACATTTAAAGTAGATAGCAGTTAGAGTACTTGTCTGTATGGCTGTGCTTTATCTTAAACACTCACTCTTACATATACAATTGCCCATTAATTTTCTCTGAATTGAAAGAGTGGCTTAGCCAATCTGTCAAGTATCTTAAAAATATGTTTCATAGAGCAGCACATTAAATTGGTGCTTCAAGAGCAGTCACACAATAAAGTGTACTGTGTCAGGTTAAAGTTACACTATGTAATCGGACAGTTCTACATACAAAACATTAAAATTCCTAGCATATTATAAGATGCTTATTTAGATTTTTTTTTTTTTTGTAAATAATATTAGCAGATGTATTATTTTTCTGCAGATATGATCCAACACAAGGATTTGCTTGTGTGAATAAACCACTAAATGGATGGTGGTGTCAGGATTACAAGGTCCGTTTCACATGTCCAATGAGTTTTTGCCAACCAAGTATGTATATTCATTTGATCTATATTTTAATACTGTATGTTATACGTTTTTTTTGTTTTTTTTGCCCAACAATTTTCTCTTTAATGTATTCCATCAGAGTGCGTAACAAGGTGGTTTGATTCTGACAACCCTGAAACAAATGGAGGCGATTTCGAACTCTTGATTTTCCTCTTCAGTAAGTACCCTGGAGAAATATGTCCGAATCCAATCGGAATAGAGGTTCAGACCGTCTCTAACCAGCCAGCGTATGGCGCAACTGGATTTAATAATATGTGAGTCTATCAAGTTGTAACATTGAGTATGTCAAGAAACAAAAACTTTGTATAAATGTTTGTGTATTTATGATGTTCTTAAATTATTTTGTCTTTTCTGAAGATATATTTCAGCATCTGGGTTTGCTTGCACATACGTAAAACCACAATATTGTGTTGATTATAAGGTGCGCTTCACCTGCCCAGATGAATGGTGTTCAAGTGAGTGACATTTACACACAAAAACAGATCCAGTGTGTTACCAAATGACTAACACTTCACAATATCATTAAATTGTCTAAATTGCTTGTTCACCTTCCATTAAAAAATATAAGTAGTAAAAGAAAACATACTGAAATAAGACCAATAGTGTTATGCAATAACTGACTAGTTATGTACAAGATCATTAAACAGTGTACAGATTTTACTCATCTAAAGTTGTGGGAAGGAGAAGAGACTTTGTTTTAAGAGTGTGACGAATACATATCATAGAACTAAAATAATTTGTCAGCAAAACTGTGTTAACCTAGACATTGGGTAATTCTTCTACAATAGAAATGGTGATATTGGTCTGACATTTTGATCTTAAATGAGAAGACTTTACCTAGTTGGTTTTCCTCTATTAGAATGTAGGACACCCTGGTTTGACCGAGATGACCCCAATGGACTAGGAGACAATGAGACGCTGTCGTTGACCCTGATAAGATACCCACTACAGGTCTGCACTCAGCCCATCGCCATTGAGGTCACAACCGTTAGTGGGAGCCCTGTACTGCCTACTGGAAACAATTTTGTAGTGTATGGTATCATATATTCTCCATATAAATATCTCCAATTAAAATAGACTATGCTGTTATTTCTTAATGCGATGTCAAATAGACATGAGAAGCTTAATCATTGCTTGTTCTGTAAAATCTTTTGCACAAAACTGCTTATGAACGCCATTTTGTAAATACAGCTAATATATTTGTTACTTTCTGTAGATATGACCCGTTAAAGGGCTTTGAGTGTGTGAATGGGGCCTGTCAAGACTACAGGGTCCGCTTCACATGTCCATTGAGTTTCTGCAACACAAGTATGTTTCATAATTCTAATTTATTCAACTTCATTGTGTTGTATAAATTTGTTTTGTTCATATTGTAAAGTGGTCCTTTTTTTTTGGTTTAATTGTTTGTTTTTTCTCTGTACTGTATTCTTTAGCGTGTGTAACCAGATGGTTTGATTCTGACAACCCTGAAACAAATGGAGGCGATTCTGAACTCTTGACTTTCCTGCTCAATAAGTACCCTGGAGAAATATGTCCGAATCCACTTGGAATAGAAGCTCAGACCGTCTCTAACCAGCCAGCGTATCAAACTGGAAACATCTTTCAAATGTGAGTCTTATCAAATTGTAACATTTTGAGCAAGTCAAGAAACAAAAAGGGATCTTAAATGCAACATGATGTTTGCTTTGTATTATGTTCTAAAAGTGTTTTCTGTGTTTTCTGTAGATATAATCCAACAACTGGGTTTTCTTGCTTAAATGCAAATCAAGGAGGAGGGGTTTGTGCTGATTACAAGGTGCGCTTTACCTGCCCAGAGGATTGGTGTTCAAGTGAATGCGTGTGAGATAATAAAAACTGATTGAATTTATTATATTATATGATGTGACTTTTCTAAACAAATAATAAAACAATATAAATGTGACCCTGGACCACAAAACCAGTCTTAAGTCGCTGGGGTATATTTGTAGCAATAGCCAAAAATACATTGTATGGGTCAAAATTATTGATTTTTCTTTTATGCCAAAAATCATTAGTATATTAAGTAAAGATCATGTTCCATGAAGATATTTAGTAAATTTCCTACTGTAAATATATTAAAACTTAATTTTTGATTAGTAATATGCATTGCTAAGAACTTCATTTGGACAACTTTAAAGGCGATTTTCTCAATATTTAGATTTTTTTGCACACTCAGATTCCAGATTTTCAAATAGTTGTATCTCAGCCAAATATTGTCCTATCCTAACAAACCATACATCAATGGAAGGCTTATTTATTCAGTTTTCAGATGATGTAAAAATCTCAATTTCAAAAAAATGTACCCTTATGACTGGTTTTGTGGTCCAGGGTCACAAATCAGATTGAAATAAGCCCAAGAGTGTTATATAATAACTGACTAGTTATGTACAAGATCATTAAATAGTGTAGAGATTTTATTCATCATATATTTTATGAAGTTGTGGGAAGGAGATAAGATTTTGAAGAGTTTGACTAAAACATATAGAACTAATGATAGTCTCAATCTAGACATTGGGTAATTCTTCTACAATAGAAATTGTGATATTGGTCTGACATTTTGATCTTAAATGAGAAGACTTTACCTAGTTGGTTTTCCTCTATTAGAATGTAGGACACCCTGGTTTGACCGAGATGACCCCAGTGGACTAGGAGACAATGAGACGCTGTCGTTACTCCTGATAAGATACCCACTACAGGTCTGCACTCAGCCCATCGCCATTGAGGTCACAACCATTAGTGGGACTCCTGTACTGCCACCTGGAAACATTTTTGTAGTGTATGGTATCATGTATTATCCATATAAATGTCTCCAATTAAAATAGACTATGCTGTTATTTCTTAATGCGATGTCAAACAGACATGAGAAGCTTAATCATTGCTTGTTCTGGATCTTCAAGAACACCTTTGCAAAATATTTTGCACAAAACTGCTTATGAATGCCATTTTGTAAATTCAGCTTATATATTTGTTATTTTCTGTAGATATGACCCGTTAAAGGGTGTTGAGTGTGTGAATGGGGCCTGTCAAGACTACAGGGTCCGCTTCACATGTCCATTGAGTTTCTGCAACACAAGTAAGTTTCATGATTCTAATGTATTCAACTTCACTGTGTTGTATGAAGGTTTTTTTTGTTCATATTGTAAAGATGTTTATAATAGCATGTATTATGTCTATGTATAATGTCTATGTATAATAGTTTTTTTTCTCTGTGCTCTATTCATCAGCATGTGTAACCAGGTGGTTTGATTCTGACGACCCTGAAACAAATGGAAGAGATTCTGAACTCTTGTCTGGCCTTTTCAGTAAGTACCCTGGTTACATTTGTCCAAATCCAATCGGAATAGAAGTTCAGACCATCTCTGGCCAGCCAGCGTATCAAACTGGAAACATATTTCAAGTGTGAGTCTATCAAATCTATTACATTGCTTTACAGGGCACATGTTTCTGAAAGCATTTTTTAGAGAAACAAAAAATTAAGTCTTGTGAAGGTATAATCCAGTCTTTGGGTTTGCTTGTGTAAATGCAGGCCAAACAGGAGGAGGGCTTTGTGCTGATTATAAAGTGCGATTCTCCTGCCCAGAGAAATTTTGCACAAGTGAGTGAATTTACACAACAAATACTAAGGAAAGTGGACTGAAAACCAAGAGAGCCTATAGTGAAATGCCAAATTAATTTGTCTACAATTACAATAACATACCATTGAGTTAACATGTCATATATTACCAAAATATATGACCAAAAATCAATGTAGAAAAAAATAGCATAATTCAGATATTTCATTGGCAGGGTTGTTTTCTGTTATAAAAATCATAGGGCTTTTCTCACTTGAACTAGTTAACCCTGGGTCATTCTATATGCTGGGTCAATGGAATCCTGGGTTATCTTGATTCATGTTTCACACTGCTTGTAATTTACCTAGGGTTAACAGTTAGGGTATTCATTCACTGACGTTTCACACTATATATTCCCAAACCCTGGTTTAATGTTCTTATCTGCATATTTGCATTGTTAGTGTCATTGTTTGGACAAACGCAGCATGCGACCTATTTACATAAAGGCTTTAGCATTGTGCATCCTCATGTTATATACTGGCAACAGTCTTATCAAGTTTTTCCTGAATGGGCTTTTCGGACTATAAAACTAAGAATAAAACAGTCTCCAATTAACACGTTTTCAGGCACAATTTGACGGTTTTCCCCTCAAATGCTGAATCGACTGTTTATATAATGCATGGTGTTTCTGTGACTGTCCAAAGCATAGATATCTATACGTAGATACCATTTGACTGCTCCAGACAGGTCAATGTGTCTACTAGTTCCTTGGTCTTCTGGGTGTTGAGTACAAGAATTGTTTTGGGCACAAAACACTGCCAGGTGCTGAACCTCCCCTCCCTGTAGGCCAAATCATCATCGCCGCTGATCAGGCCTAACACCGTGGTGTCGTCTTCAAACATGATTATGGAGTTAGGGCCATGTAAAGGTACGCAGTCGTGGGTGGAAAGGGAGTAGAGAATTGGGCTCAGAACACAGCCCTGTGGTATGCCAGTGTTCAAGGTGAGGATGGAGGAGTTGTAATTGTTAATCCTAACAGACTGTGGTCTGTTGGTGAGAAAGTCCAAGGTCCAGTTGCAGAGGGAGGGGCTGATGCCAAGGTCAGTGAGTTTGGAGATCAGCTTAGATGGAATCACAGTATTAAAAGCAGAGCTGAAATCGATGAATAGCATTCTGACATAAGTGTTGCTTTTATGTTGCTTTTATCCTGGTGATTCAGGGCATTGTGGAGAGCTGAGTCGATGGCGTCCTCAGTTGACCTGTTGGGTTTGTATGCGAACTGAAATGGGTCCAGTGTTGGGGGCAGGCACGTTTTCAGATGGGATAGTACCAACTTCGCAAAACATTTTGCTATGATTGGTGTGAGCTCAGCTTTGTTGGGTGATTCTGTGTTTCCACGATCAAAGCAAGCACAAAAGATGTTCAGTTGGCATTACTGGTTAGGGGGGGTGCTGCTTGATGGTTTGTAGTCTGTGAGGACATGAATGCCTGTCCACATACGCAGAGGATCATAGATATTCATACATGTAAATAATAACTATGGCTGCAGATGCACAGTCAACTTGCTTTTTAATTGTTCACGGACTGGCTTTGACCATGGCGGACCGCTTATGTATAGCAGCCCAAAGAAATATTTGTTAATGTGGCATCTACGTATACATATCTATGGTCCAAACAACAGTATGTGTGTCTGCATCTTAAGAAGGTACCTATAATCAGTGGTGTATAAAGTACCTGAAAGCCATACTCAAGTAAAAGTACAGATATCTTACCAGAAAATGACTTTGGTAGAAGTTGAAGTCACTGTTTAGAATATTACTTGAGTAAAAGTCTTAAAGTATGTGATATTTATTGTACTTAAGTACGAAAAGTATTTTTTAAATCTTAAACGTACTTAAGTATTGAAAGTAAAAGTACAAGTAAATGCAAAATGGAAAAGAAGCAAATAAATATAAAAAATGTTCATACACAGCTTGAGTAGCAAGATTGTGTTCAGTTTTAACTCTTTCTTCTATTTTGTATCTTTGGGTAAGAATAAGAAGCACTTCATCTGGTACTTAGTGTCTTTCATTCCAACATAAGAAAACGTTTCTGGAATCTACATCTGAAATGGCATTTAGATGTATTTACAGTTTATGTATCTCAGAGGGGACATGGATGCATTTAAACTGCAGTTACAGATGCATAAATAGGCCTAAGGTTTTGTTTTAAACATAAAAC